GAAATCCACAGAACAAAAACTTAAAAGGATAGGGAAACAGACGGCAAGAGAAAGCCCCCGCATTCAGGTTAAACAGGCTTATAGTTAATGTCTTCTCTATGCTCTACAGTTAAGGTAATTTTGCACTGCCTGAAGCCACAACCTGAGAGTGAGACGGGGAGGAGTGAAGTACGGCTCACTCTCTACATCCTGGTAAAGGAACAAATGGCTCATGTTGCCATTAAATGGACAGAGAGCCCAGGGTTATCACTTTCATGCAGGTTATTCCCACGTGTCAGCTAAAAATCAATCTCCATTTAACTGATAAATCTCCTCACTGAGCCAGTATCTAATATGACGGGGACAGCCGAAGGTATGCTCACATTAAACACCGATTTTTAACACTTTGGAAACTGAATTTGCATTGTGTGTGTGTGTGTGTGTGTGTGTGTGTGTGTGTGTGTGTGTGTGTGTGTGTGTGTGTGATGCAAAAAGATAATGAAAGAAAAAAGGAGATTTCCAGATGTTATCAATCGCTCACTGATAATTTATTTATCTGGTAGTAAACTGATTGGTTCCAGTGAATTGGCAGAACATCAACAGAGTCAAACGAATGAAGACATCCATCTTCTGTTGCTACCTTCTATCCTCCAACCAGCTGAAAACGAAGCGCAGTACAGGCTGGCCATCTGAATTCATCTTAATTTGGCATATGATGTGCTTTTCAGAAGAATGCACAGATAGCAACATTAAAGAAACGGCTCACGCTCTAAACTTAATTTATCATGAAGTGAGAAAAAGCACAAAGGAAGACTTGGAGGTTCTGTAACTGGGAAAAGGGTGGCAGACAAAGAACGGCGGTGAGCTTGTCAACATCCTGAAAGAAGAATCAGAGCGATGGCGATGTGAATCGCCACTTTGACTCAGAACTTTTAGAATAAAAATCAGAGCGAAAACAGGAAGTAAACACTGCCTTGAGTGGAAGTTATCAGCTTTATATTCGGGCAGCCATATGCACAAGTAATCATGTTATCACGGGTGGGCAGACCTTTTATTGTATCAAATCATGCACTCATTCACTACTTGCATTCAGGCAATTCTATGAAAGTCTTGTATTGTGAGCTCTTTGGCTAAACACAAAAACTATTGGACACTTGGACAGCGCAGTTTGGTAATATAAAAACAAATTTTGCAGCCATTTACATTTGGATGCACCAATCTTCTTCTTCTCACCTGTCTATGTTTTTATGGTTTTCTTTCTATTCCATGCTTGGGTAATGACCATCAGTTGTACGCTACTTCTTGTGAGGCCTTGTACCATACTTTGCGTCTACTGAAACAGCCTAAGTAATTCACTACACAGATCCAGTCATGTGAAAAGTAAAGTTTCTCACCGGACTCCTGAGAGAAACAAAGTACATCCATACTGCAGCCAGGTAAACTGCACCTCTATAAAAGTGGAAGGTTTGGTAAGCTTGCTGTTCTGGAGCATTTAGTTTACAGTTAAAACTAAGCTACAATCTTCCCAGGAATGGGCATCCTCAAAAACTCAGACTGTGCAATGTTCAGAGGGCATGTTTAAAGTTCATGACAGCAGAATCAGAAAAAGACTGAACAAGTGTGGCTTGTTTGGACAGCTTCTCTAAAAAGAACATGGCACCCTGGCATAGGTTTACAAAGCTGCATCTGATTAAACCACAAGATACTGTATCTGGAGCAACGTCCTTTGGACAGCTGAGACCAACTTGGAGACGTTTGCTGTAATGCAGAATGTCTGATTTGGAGAAAACCAAACACAGCATGTGAGCACAAACACCTCATACCAGCTGTCAAGCATGGTAGTAGAGGAGCTACGATTGCCACCTTGCAGTCACCAAGTCTGAACATGAACTCCTCTGTATACTAAAGTATTCTAGAGTTTCTCGTGAGACCATATTTCTGACAGATAAAGGTTGTGCTAGCACGACAATTATCCCAAGCACACCAGCAAATCTGCAACAGAATATTTGAAAAAGAAAAGAATAAAAATGTTGCAATGAGCCAGTAAAAAAGTCCAGACCTCAACCTGACTGAAATGTTGTGGTGGGGCTTTAAGAGAGCTGCGTATAAACAAATGCCTACAAACCTCAATGAACTGAAGCAATCCTGCAAATAAGACTGGGGGAAAAAAATCCTCCACAATGATGTGAGACACTGATAAAGTCATGCAAAAAACAACTGGTTCAAGTTAATGCTGCTAAATAGTGGTTCTGTGAGCTAATCACAAGGTATAGATAAGAAGCAGTTTCTCCACAGGACTCTATCATGTCAGGTGAAAACCATTTTACATGACTGTAAATACAGAGCAATTATGGATGCAGCTTTTTAATTCAGTTTGACTTTTTGGAGAACAGCTATGCAAGCTGTTTGAAGCTTACTGCCTGCCTTTTCCAGCTCCATCACTAAAAGCAGGAATGAGAAAGATACCAATCTTGTACTGATCAATTTCTTGGCAAGAAAGCATCTGTTTGCCTGTCAATAATAGGATACAGTAATTACAAGAGCGTTTAGTGCCTGCCCTCACTCACAGCACCGGTACATGCATTAACAATAACGGATTGCAGGAAGAAATTGAAAGCTTTGTGAAGCCAAGATGATGAATCAATATTATAAATACTAACCAGAGCTGGTATGCAGGTAAACTGTCAGCTGTTCTGATAAATCCTTCAATGTCCTTTTTCTTTAAAAAGACAGACATCACACACATGTAGCCTCTTAGTAATGGGCATTGGCTGCTTTTCTTTATGTTATGGAATTATCACGTTTTTTACCTGACTTGGACATCAACACAGGCCACTTTTTTTTTATTTCCTGTAATTAAATAGTTATCAGTTAACATTAATCAATTATATAACATAACCAGCTTTAATGACTGTGTATATGTGGCCTGGATGAGCAGAGTGTGTGCGCATACGTGCGTGTGTAAAGAAATTGAAGCATTTGACACCTCACTAACAAGCCAGCTGAGACAGCCAGTATCCTGACGCTGCCTTGGGCCACACAGCATCACTCCGCTTAACGCCCTCTGGCTAAATAAATAAGTATAAATATAAAAATATCTACATCCACCAAAGAGAGGAAGTTTTTTATGTTTATTTATTTATTTATTTTCCGAAGGCTGCTGACTGGAAACCATTTTCCACACTTCAAAAGAGGGCGTGGGAATAAACCGATGCCCATGGACATGCAACGATAAAGCAGACTCTCACATCCAAAGGCAAATCCTAAGCATCTCTTCTCGCTCTTCCCACTCGCCACCGATGCTCTCCCACCCGTTTTCTCTCTTTTTTTCCCCTGGCAGATCAACAAACATATCTCCTACTTATTTTTCTTAAACACATGTATGGTGAGCTGTGGCAGCGCTAACAGGTTAGGCCACTGATCGCTAAAAATGAACTCCACAGAGGAGGGAAGGAAGCCATGAGGGGAAACCCAATCCAATGACCACTTTTGGTCAAAAAGCTGCAGCATCCAGCGTTGCGGCCTAAAATTTAATTTCCCCTAGTAGAAAAGCCACCTCGATGCCTTTAGCTGCCTATTTTTAGTATGTTATCATTTAGCCTCAATCAGAGTACAGCAGTCAACCTCAGGAGTGAAGATTGTTGCAGTGAGACAATAAAAAATTTTTAAAAAGCACTGAGCTCCACCAGAAGTGGCTCATCAGAATGAAGAGAAGAGAAGAGAAGAGAAGAGAAGAGAAGAGAAGAGAAGAGAAGAGAAGAGAAGAGAAGAGAAGAGAAGAGAAGAGAAGAGTCTATTGGAGTTTATGTTTCTTCTTCTTCTTTCTATTTGGTGGCTCTGTTGCATCAGCACTGTCAGCTGAGGGCACAGTCGAAGCCTCAGAAAACAATGCCCGAGCAGAGGCATGCTTCGACTTCATAATAAATCAGTGTTTTCATGTTCCCGCCTGACTGTGGCATCATGTCAAATGCTCTTTGTCCCTTTAACTGACAGCACTTTTTAAGGGTCTCATTGTGAGCTGCTTTGTCAGGCTGTTGCCTCGATGCCCTGACATTAATTAGCACCAAGGAAGCAGAAAGCAAAGGAGAACGGCTGTAACCAGCGGACTAGTGATCGATGTCATCTGTGTTTTTCCTCACAGTATGGGGCCCCGGATAGAATCTGAAAAAAATCTGAGTTTATCCTTCTCCTTCCAGCTATAATTGTGTTAGACTATGGGGGATGCATCCCTGCTTTGGACAAACAAACCCAAGAGAGATTGTTTTTGGAGAGAAATAAGCTGGAAATAAAGAGCATGCGTTCTAAAAGAAGACTCTCTCACAGGGAGGGTGAGTGTGTTTGCAGGGCTGTAACGAGACAACCC